CCCAGGGCCTTTTTTTGTAGCAGGAACTCCTTTGCATGTTAGGCCACACACCCCTAATGTAGCCAATCCTAATGAGTTTCTGCTGTTGGGTGTGGCCTATTATGCTAATGAGTTCCTGCCGGGCGTGGCCAACTCAAGAGCCAGCCGGAACTCCGTTCCTGTGCGTTCCTGCCCCAAAATAGCCCTGCTCTAAGCAGTCCGTTTCAATCCAAAAAAAGTCAACGAGGTCCAAAGTCCATGATATATCAAAGAAGTTCTCCAGGCTATGTCAAAGAAGTCCAGCGTGGTTTATGGATATAATCAGGACAAGTGTTTCGAGGTTCCTTTTTAAAGAAAATATATAGTCATATATCCACTGGTTAGTTTCATAACACTTTATCTTTGGGCGTGTGTATTCAAAAGTCCTTCTGTCACATTCACAAAATGGAAAGACCCGTGGGAGTCAGCGGGCCCCAAGCGTACAATTTTTTAAAATGGAAAGCATCTCCGACACTAATCCATCTTGAAAAGCGCCTCCGTGGGAAGGCAGGCTCCATAATAAAATCAGCATTGCCTAGCCATAAGAGCACCCCAATAGCGGAGCATATGCCTTTGGGCACAGCTGAGACGCTTCCCTAAATCTTCCGAGTACAGACACTGCAAACCTAAACCAGTTTTGTTTTGTCTTGCCCTCTTTCTCAGAAACGTTGGGAGAGGTGTCTCTGGTGAGAGCGGAGAATTCTCTTTAAAATTTGGATAGCTTCCTGCCTTTGGGATTCTGTGACCTTGGGGGGTGGGATGAGCAAGTTAATTATGCCACCCCTAACCTTTCACTGGGGCTGCGGTGGCTCAAGTGGTTAAGACGCTGAACTGCAGGCTGGGGAAGGTCGGTAGTTCAGCAGTTCGAGACCCGAGTGCGCCGCATGACGGAGTGAGCTCCCGTCTCTGGTTCCAGCTCCTGCCAACCCAGCAGTTTGAAAGCAAGAAATTGCAAGTAGATAAATAGGTACCGCTTCGGTGGGAAGGGAACAGCGTTCCGTGCGCCTCGGCGTCTAGTTTTGTAGGGGGTTAACAAAAGCCATTCTTTGCTGCATGCCTGGGGGAGTCTCCCGAGTCAACAGAGAGCCCTGCCTTTTCTGGGGTTGGCCCCGTTTTGTAAGGGAGACCTTTACCTTTACCTTTTTAATCCGTCATTGCCCTGACCTGGATGGCCCAGGCTAGCCCAATCTCGTCAGCTCTCGGAGGCTAAGCAGGGTCGGCCATGGCTGGTCTTTGGATGGGAGGTCTCCAAGCAATACCAGGGTCGTAATGCAGAGGCAGGCCATGGCAAACCACCCCTGAACATCTCTTGACTTGACGGCACGTTCCACCCCCACCCCCTTCATTGTCTCTCTGCTCCACTCGACATCCCACCAATGGAGCATGCGCAGTCAAGTGGTTAAGATGCTGAACTGCAGGCCGGAAGGTCGGCCGTTCAGCAGTTCGAGACCCGAGTGTGCCGCATGACAGAGTGAGCTCCCGTCTTTAGTTCCAGCTCCTGCCAACCTAGCAGTTCAAAAGCAAGAAATTGCAAGTAGGTACCGCTTTGGTGGGAAGGTCACAGCGTTCCGTGCGCCTCGGCGTCTAGTTTTTTAGGGGGTTTAACAAAAGCCATTCTTTGCTGCATGCCTGGGGGAGTCTCCCGAGTCAACAGAGAGCCCTGCCTTTTCTGGGGTTGGCCCCGTTTTGTAAGTCTCATTATCCGCACAGGAGCCAGCCAGTTGACGGTTAGACGTAGTCGTCTGTCTGTAGCAGCAGAAAGGAGCGAGAGTCCAGGAGAACCCTAAAGACTAACAAAATTTGTGGCAGCGGAGGAGCTTTTGTGTTGTATCTGGAGAAGTGAGCCGTGACTCATGAAAGCTCTCAAGGGAGAATGGTGGACTCTCAGGGCACACTCAAAGGTTACTCTGTTTCCCCCATGGGTATTGAAAGGTGTGAATTCCCAGGTGTGAAGACCCGGGTGTGAATTCCCACTCTGCCATGGAAGCCTGTTGGGTGACTTTGAGTCAGTCACACTCTCTGGGCCTAAACCACCTCACAGGGTTGTTGTTGGGGAACAAAATTCAAGTCCGCTGGCACCTTTAAGACCAACAAGGTTTTATTCAAGGAATGAGCTTTTGTGTGCAGGCACACTTCCTCAGATACAATGAAATGGAAGTTAGCAGTTTATACATATGGGTAGAAGCCGGGTGAGCAGCAAATTAGCATACAACGTAATGAAGATTTTTAACAGATGCAAGCACCAAACAGGAACAACAAGCTTAGTTTATCTGGTCACCATCTGTTTGGGTTTAATTCCGGGCGGGGGGGGGCATAGTGAAGCAGATAAATATATCAAAATTGGAGACTGATGTGTAAATGTGCCCTTCTTAAGTGTGGGATGCTAAGAGTAATTAACCGAGACCCCATTGTTGTGCTCCACCCGTCTCCTCTCAAGCATGGCGGTAACTAACAGCATCCTTTTCTTTAAGGTGGGGTGATTGTTTTGTGCAGTCCTACGTCTCCTCGGTCACTAGCAACGCTCTCTCTAAGCTGTGGAGTCCTGTGAGCAGAAAGTCTACTTTGTGAGCTGCCGGCATTAAAGCTGTGAGCGAGCGATTGGGCTACGGCATAGATCAGTTTGCTCCGGAGCCCCGTCCTATCCTGAGCCGAGGCAAAAAGGTGTGAGCCGGAGGCCAAGAAACTGTGAGCTAGCTCACACTCACTCAGCTTAGAGGCAACGTTGGTCACCAGACCAGAGAAATACCTTCCAGTCTTCCATTCCAAATTATTGTGAGGATATATGACAAAGGAGAGGAGAATGATGTGGGCCCTCTTGGACCCCCATGGGGGTGGGGGGGGGGAAGGTCAGGCATAAATGAAGTAGATGCATGAAGTAAATAAAATAAGTGTCTGAGAGAGAGAGAGATTGGAATGATCAGCGTTACCAGTATTTCAGTCAAATACTGCATTTTTCCTGTCAAATTGAATGTGTGCCTTATTGCAAGTGGATGAATCAACTGTGTAGGGCCCCCCCCCCTTTTGTTCCCAGCAGCACCAGTATAAGCTGCCCCAGTAATGTGTTTTTGGGAGTGGGGTGTGTGTGCTGGTACTGTTTCTATAACCTCAACCTAGGCTTGCGGGAAATGTCAGCAGCTCTTTAGCACCATCTTGTGGCTGATGGTGGTAACTGTCATGCCTACATCCGAAGCCTCCATCTCCTCCCTTTCAGCTTTTAGAATATTTAACAGTGCGGACTGGTTCACCTAGCCCCTTTTCATACCATAACCAACTACATGCCCGCAGAAGGCCTGCAAGCAGGGTACGGAGGCCAAAGCTTCTCTCGGTTTTTGCCTCCCCCTCCGCAACTGGTTTTCAGAGGTACACTGCCTTCGAACAGGGATGTTCTATTTAGTCGTCTTGGGTAATAGCCACTGATGGATATATCTTCTCTGAATTTGTCTGTCACTTTAAGGCCAGCTAAACAATTGTCCAGCACATGATAATTATTTGCTGGGTGAAGAAGAACTTCCTTTTCTCCATCCAGAACTTACCACTGGGTGCTGTTCAGTTCTCATAATGTCGGAGAGGCAGACAGAGTTCTGGGTCTCCACCAGTTTCCCTGCAGCCTTTGGTTCTCCAAAGAGGGCAATTTTCTCTTTCTTTCTTTCTTTCTTTCTTTCTTTCTTTCTTTCTTTCTTTCTTTCTTTCTTTCTTTCTTTCTTTCTTTCTTTCTTTCTTTCTTTCTTTCTTTCTCTCTCTCTCTCTCTCTCTCTCTCTCTCTCTCTCTCTTCCTTCCCTCCCTCCCTCCTTCCTTCCTTCCCT